ATTCTGAGTGACAGGTCCTTCCGTGCATGGGCTCCAGAATGTGCAAAGGCTTGGAGTGAAGACTAAGCTGATTCCGGGACCAGGAGGGGTCCATTTTTTAAAAATAGGAAATGGAAACAGTGGGACAGGATCAAGTGCAGAGCAGCTTTGTGACCACTTGGGTTTCTGTTCTGCTGGTGATGGGGTCATTGGGGTCATGGGAGCAGTAGAGCAGGTGACCTGTCCCAGGTCTCATTAGACTCCCTGTGGCTGCAGCATGATGCACAGGATGGGTGTGAGGACGGTGGTAGGAAGCCCAGGATGGAGGCTGCTGTGATAGTGCTGGTGAGTGTGAGGGTACCTGGAGCACAGTGGTGGTTGTGGGTGTGGAAGAAGCAGTTGCATATGGATCAGGGTTTTAGGTGTTGCCATCTGGATTTTCTTATTTTGAGGATTGGAGAGAGAGATAAGAATCAGAGATTATGTGAAGGTTTGGATTTAGTACCTGAAGGTATGAAAGCACCATCAACTGAGATGGACAAAGTCATAGTCAGTAAAGTAATGTTCATGAGGAATATAAAATCTTTTCCTTTTTCCTATTAGGGTATGAGATATTTCAGAGACCAGTTCATGACCATTGGGACTCTGAAGAGTAGTTCAAGATGAAGACTACTTAAAAAAATAGTAAAGAGTATGGACCATGGAGGAGTTGTGGATCACCTTTTTTTTATTATTATTGGAGGTGGAAGAGTAATTCAAAGAAGGTGAGACTGTGGCTGGTGCATATTTACTTCTTAAACACTCACCAGGATTTCTTGTGACTATTTGTGTGGCCTGGTGTGTTGCATCCAGTTTGGTTAATTCGCTTAGGGACAAGGGGGGACATCTGTGAGACTCACTGTGCATGGGGTAGAAGGACATAGGCTGTAGGACTTGAGTACTGAAGGCTGTGAGTGGAGAATGGACATCAAGTCCAGCAGCAGTAGAGGTGGACTCTGGATAACTGAGATCTGATGTGGTTCTCAATAGGTGAGGTTGAAGTAAAAAATAAATTGGGAGCGATGCCTTCATAGCGGAACTGAAGGCTGTGCCTTGGATGTGGGCAATGAGAGTCAGCTTAATAGTTGATACTGTTTGAACTTGCCATGCAGTCTCTGGAACACACATGCTGAGTAATGACTAAGACCAGGGAGATGTCTATGGAGCTGGGGCTACAGGAGTGCAGGTGTGAGAGATGTGTGGGAGAAGGAGTGATGTGCTGTTGGAGAGTGTGAATTCATGGCCGCAGATCCCTGAAATTGACATAGAAATAATAAAGGTTGAATCCGTTTCTGGATGATACGACATGGGCAATTGTAGGGTAATTCCTGAAAAGACGGTTGTTGTGGCCCTACATGCCAGTTCCATAATTTAGGTGTCATATAGGTGCACACCTGCCTGTTGGTGTTGGGCGGATATAGTGATCAATAGGAATGGGATAGCACACATCAGTGTCACCTGGTCTTGAATATCTCTAATGACTTGGGGAATGGAGAAAGGTAAGAGTGAAATACATTACAGAGGAGGTGAGTTAAAATGTTGAAAAGGAGCTCAGTAGAAAATATCCCCGCCTCTCCATGGCCTGTATGTGTTATCTTTGAAGTTGTGACTCTGGGAATGAAGCTGTAGGAGGGAAGTGGGATAGGAAGAATAATGTGAAACAGGTAGGGCAAAGTGTTGACCTCATCACCCTAGGACTGGAATCGAAAGGGTGACGAGCGATACCATGTTTTTCAGGGACTTGGAGGGAGAATTTGTTGGACAAGAAGGATATTGACACACAAGAGCAGTGTCCAATCACTCACATTTCTCTTTATGGCCAACATTTATCTGTACCCTGTGTTGGTGACACCCATTGTGTTGACCCTAAATTTGAGGCCCTAAGGACAGGTACAACCAATCTGGGCATTCTGCTTTATTGCTGTGGAAGACACAATATCAGTAGGAATATCAGGAGAGAATGACTTTGGTAGATGCAAGGCCTGCTATTTTCTTTTTTTTTAAATTAAATCTTTATTGTTCAGATTATTATAGTCATTCCTCTTTTTTTTCCCCATAGCTCCCCTCCACCTGGTTCCCACCACCCTCTGCCCCCTTAACTCCGCCCCCCCACCTTCCCCATCGGATTCTTGTCCAGTCTCTTCCCGCATCCCCCACACCCCTTTCCTCCCCTCACCCGAGAATACTCAGTCCACTC